TACAGTGAGGCTTTAGACTGACGATACCCACACAGAGCAACTTGAAAGGGAGATGAAGGAGATGACTCAATCCATGTGTGAGTGGGTGCGTGTGTGGGTGCATGTGTGTGCGTGCGTGCATGTATGTGTGTTTGTGTGTGTTCCTTATATTTGGCTGAACATGAACACACACTACAATGTTAACACATTTTATTAGGTGTACAAAAACACAGCAGGCTAATAAGTTTGTATTGGAATTATAATTAAAACAGAGCGCAGTGGTGCATGTCTTCATAACTTCAGGCTTTATCATGGCCTATTGTTTAATAAAGGATTGCTAGGCTTGTGTACATAGACAATAGAAAACATTCCAATGACACCAGCTCATGGGACACAGTAGAAGCATCGTGCCTGAGTTCAGCCTGTAAGTTGCTGCTGAACATTGCTCTATTCAGCCCAACGCTGACTGAGGACTGGCCATTTTCAGAATTGGTAGTCTCGCATGCTTTGACTAAATAAGCCGAAATAATTATCTCACCAAATAAGAAAGTGAAAAAAAAAAAAACATAGAAGTTCAAAGGCACTCAACCCCTCTTTTTTTTTTTATTTGCCCTGGGTCCTGCTCTTGCTGCCAATATCAAGGTTATTGTTTGTATGTTTTCACTGTAATATCAGTGAGAGCAAACAAGCTAACAGAAAAATTGGGCACCATTGGGAAAGTGTTATTAGATTTTACTTGATATGAAGGGAGATATAATTACAATTACATTAAATTAACGCTCTGGTGACTGCACTCGTGTACTAAATAATGAAGAAAATCAACGGTGGCCACTGATTTATCATCAGAATTAATTTGCCATAACTTGTTTTATGTCCCCTTGGGCCAGAAGCACAAAAATCATGACTAAGAATTGTTCATAGATCAAATTTGCTGTCAATAAATGAAAAACTACAATAACCATCTTAAAATAAAGGCAAAGTAGAGAGTTGAAACCATGATTCATTTGACTGACTGAGTGCTGATCATGTGATTGCAGTTACACGAGGAAGGTGTCATGTACATCTCATCAAGTGTGTTTCCACACTTAAACAGTTATTATATCACCGTAAATGGTGTGTTCAGGATTAAGCAGATTTAATTAGATGGGTTAATTTCAACCTTGTGTTTGGTTTACAAAATAATGTAGTTGTAGTTGATAAACTCATTCCAATTTAAAATAATGTACTGAAACTGGAAATGAAAAATCCAAACTTGTGTCAAAACAGTCAAATAAAGCTAACTCAGTTATCCACATATGAAGAACAGGGCCCGGGTTTGATCACACAATCACTGTCCCTCATGGACTGTGTTAAAGAGAACAGCCATGACTACAAACACAATCCAATCAAATGACTTTGCTGGTTTCCCCTCAACTAATACGAACTATTCAGAAAATGCATAAAAGTCAAAAACATTACAGGCCAAACTGTTTAAAACACTGTTAGAAACACCAACATAAACCCCAACTCATACTCATTCATAATCAGCTCAATAGTGTGTCCCCACTTTAACCTATATAGTCAATTTGTTGATGTTGTAGGGTCATGGTTTGCAAGGGTTGATATCTATCCAATTATTTGTCCCATTCAATGCATGTGTTACTCTCTTGATTCCTCAAACATTTGTATTCCTAAAGCATACAGAGGAAAATCAAGAAATGAAAATAAAAAGAAGGTAAAAGGCTGTAATGAGAAGATTGTAGAGAATCAACAGAATATCATATTAGGTTTTCTGGTCTGTTGTGTCCTATTAGTCACCTGTCCTACTGTCTCTGTCTCCTCTACAGCACCAACTCTGTCATTTATTGACAACCAGCCACCTGGTGAAGCGTCAAGGGGAAAATATATGCATCTTTATTAAGAAATAAAAAAGTGTCTACTCAGATGGTTTCAATGTACAGGAGTGTCAGAGTGTGTAAATGCATGTCCACGTTACTGAGAGAACGGGGAAGAGTGTGTGAGGGCGTCTCTCAGAAGTCAGCACTGCATGCAATGTTTATCCACCACATATTGAGCAGTGCTGACCAGAAAGCCCCAGTGGGGCCATTGGACCAGCTGGTGTAATACTGGCGTATACACACAACCCTAAACACAAACACTTCTCTCTCTCACACACAAACACACACACAGCAAACACACTCATTCTCTCATAACTGCACATACATCATTCTATGGCAGCCCTTCCATTTTGTTCCTCTCCTCCACCTCACGCCTCATCAGACATATTATAATTAGCCGTGCTGAGTAATTAACATCCAAATTAGGACATTCATTTACATATCTGCCCTCATTTGCATATACTCCTAGCATCACACAGATCTGACGATCCTCCACACACTTATAAATGCCAGTACAGAGAACAAGGGTACTCAGTCTTTTTCAACGCAATTGCCAGCTGCCATTGAAAGTCATGCACAGACCTCTTTACACATAGCAAACATGTGTTTCTTTCACCTTTGTGAGGGATTAATAAACCAAAACGGCAGATAGTAAGTAAAGAACAGAGGTTTGAGTTGGAGGGAGGCTGAGAAAAGATACAACGGGAGTAAAAGACACTAAAAATGTGGACAGGCCAGGAAAGGGAGAATATAAATGGGACTGAGGAGGGGGTCTGTAATAGAGGTACCCAGGATAGAGTGAGAATTTCACACTCTCCAGATGAGAAAAGGCAAAGTAAGACAGAAAGAAGACTGCCTCGCCATTTACACATCTCACTTAAGCCCATAAAACTTTGAAATTGAATCCATGGCTGTGCAGAGAGGCAGACAGAGAGAGAGAGAGAGAGAGAGAGAGAGAGAGAGAGAGAGAGAGAGAGAGCAGCGGCTCTGGAAATCAGAACGAATGCTGTTCGAGCTTGGAAAAAGAAGTGAGAAGGAGAATGACGAAACACTTCTCTCCCTCTCTCTCTCTCTCTCTCTCTCTCTCTCTCTCCCTCTCTCTCTGTGACATTTGCCCTCTGAATGGCATCAGCTCAACGGAGCGGAGAAACCAAACAGTGACAGGGAGTCAAAGGAAGAGAGAGAAAGAGAGAGGACAGAGAGAAAAACACAAGTAAGAAAGCAGAGGAAAGAGAGAGAATAGGAGGGGCATGAATGACAGTAAAGAGGAAAAGAGCGACAGGACGGGCAGAGCAGTTCCCGCCAGACATTGTTTCACCAGTCATTGCACAGAAGAGGAAAACCTGAGTTATGCTTCTGCGTTCCACATCACTTTCACGATTTATGTTCCGGCGAGGATAATGCAGCTAGACGGCTCTGTTGAAAAGACACCCATAAATCTGATCTTGTTTTCGATTTTTTTCCCTCTCCCTTTCTTTCTCTTACAGCGCCCCTCTAATCTGCTCTCTGTGTTCTTTGGCATTCATCTGCTCTGGTCTATTTCCTGACTTCTTATGTAAAGGTATTCAGCAGCAAGCCTTTGCCTCATGTATATACTGTATTCTGCTGAGCTTGTAGAGCTTGTAAATAGCAAATCTACACATGCACAAAAGTCACTTTATGTGGCCCACATAAGAAAATCCAGCCAGCGCACAGAGGCCTTGATTCATTGCTATTTAAATGTAAATGGCTATACTTAATACTTGTTAAGTTGAGAAGATTTACTGAGTCAAAGTAAATTCAGCCCTTTCATCAAATGATTGGTATGATATTTGACCTCCAGACCAGATTGTATACGTGCATGGCATAGCCAATAAGACACATTGACATTACGCTCACCTTAGACAATTAAATTAATCATAGAAGTCTCCACAGAAAACAGGCTCTTCTCTAAACTTCATCTTCTCTAAACCTAGTTAGCCTTCCCTGTGGCTCACTGCCATATGGAGGTCTTTTATAAACAGGAAAAAAAATGATAATGTTTGAGTGCAGACAGCCAGTCAGCCCAGCGCTCTCACTCCAGAGACCTAATTAATACCACTGTAAACCGCCGCTGCCCTTCATAGGCAACACCAGTCGACACTGTGTGTGTGTGTGTGTGTGTGTGTGTGTGTGTGAGTGTGAGAGAGAGACAAACAAGAGTATCACAGGGTGAGGATGTGATTGAATACAACGCCCTGACCATGGCTGCCCTCCCCGAGCACTTATCGATTATCATAGACAGAAATCATCTTCAGATCACTGGCCAACCAGCCAGTAAGGACCAGCAACCCAAATGCTAATATTCTCAATAAATGTTGTGTTTATGGGGTTAATCACTTCAAAAAGGCAACTGTGGCATGTAAGGTTGTCTCCAAGACATAACATCATGGGGAGAAGAGTTTCCCAGTAACCTTTAAGGATGACATGTATACTTATAAAATGCTACTATGTGAATTGTTATAGTCGCATAAGTGACACTGTGGTGAGTTATATCTATCATCAGAGCTGAAACTATATTAGCATCAACATAAAATCTGATAATCATCATCATTTAAGTCATTGGTTCAAGTCAAAATACCAACCATCCTCTAATTTGTGAGGGTTTGTTGCTTTTTGTTGTCTTATGTAACATATAAAATGTCCTTTGGTTTCTAAATGTTAGTTGGACAAAACAAGACATTTGAAGATAATGAGAGTAGATGAGTCACTTTGGGTATTAGAACATTTTGATGGGTGATTTTCACTATTTTCTGTCATTCTACAGCTTAAATCAAACGATTAATTGATTGATCGATAATAAAAAACAATCTTTAGTTGCAGAACTACGAATCTTTACCCACTTATTCACATTGTCCCACCAATATAACTGTACCGCTAATTGCCCTGTCTGCCATTACGTGAACTTTGACTAAGTAGTCAAAAATAAATATACCAAGACAAACAACCGACATGAAGCTACTGAATATACAGCAGAACTTAATACCTAAATGGCGACTAAGTTGTCGGACGTACGGTTGGCCCTGTCCTCGACAACTTAAAACAACAGTCAAACATTTCGAAGAACCAAGTAACGTTAGTTGTTTCTTTGTTTTCTCTCCATCTTTTTCTTTTTCATGTTCCTACCTTTTCCGCCGAGAGCGCAGGAGTGGCCCCAGATGAGCCAAAACAGCAAAAAAGGGACCCCGAGTATGTGCATGGTTGTCGAGCTGTGTGGGTGATGTCTCCCCGTCCTCTCCTCTTCTCAAATCCTGGATCACCTCCCGAGCGCGAAGATGTTTTCAACTGGCCGGGCGCGCGAGGGACAGCCGGTGGTGTAGAGAGACAGCCACTGGGTACAGAGAGAAGAGAGAGAGAGAGAGAGAGAGAGAGAGAGAGAGAGAGAGAGAGAGAGAGAGGCTGACGTTTAAACAGCGTCAATAAAACAACACTTCCGATTATTCGTTTTCAAAATAAAACAAAAGCGACTGTTGCTGTAGAGTAACGTCGAACAACGGTACCAAAACAAGGCTGGATTATATATAGTGGAAATTAAATCATTTTAAAACGTGTTTTAACACTTAATTGATTATGGATGCTTCGAAATAAGTCCACCGACAAGTATGAGAAATTTTACATTTTTATACTGAAAAATAAAGGCGCCCTTTTCTGACATAATCTGGCTTTATTTGGCAAGCTTGACTGAACTGTAGAGAGAAGGCGCAAGGGATGGAGAGGGGGAGATGTAGGGAGGGGATCTGTCTGAGATGTGTGTGAATGTGTTGGTAGTTCGGTGTTAAGAGGGGAAAAGATTGATTTTGACACCCCGGGAAAGGGCTGCTGTAACCGACAGTTAGCTGCCAGTGATTGCATTCCTTTACAGCATTACAGCTACAGTTTTTTTTATCAATTCAATAAACCCCGAGCTATGGCAAGGTAGGACACCAGGAGCTACCACATTCCCGAAAATGAAGCAATGTCTGATTTCATATGGAAGCCAGAGGATTGCAGTACCATGAATACACAAACATTAATTCACCAATTTCAACACATGAAACTTCCAAATTCAGTGTTTCCCCAACCTTTCTGGCTTGTGAGCAGAACAAGTGTGAAAGTGTGAAAACAAAACAATGTCTACTGCTAGTACATTCTAGAGGCGAAATGAATGGACTAATTAATTCACAAGAAAACAAGTACAAATTAGAGGAAAGTCTGAATAAGTTACCTGAATAACTACCAAACTGTTCTAAATTATCTTCACACTAACATTTGCTCATTATAATAATAATAAAAGATACAGTATCAGATGTGATCTTATATCAGGGGCAATATGTTAGTGATGCCCTGCAGGGCATTTGTTTTTCAGATTAGTCAGTAACCAATGTGCATCCTTCCTAGCTGTTACCCTACATTAACTGTGTAAGTTAGGCTACATTTGGGAAATGTAAAAAAAAGGATTGCTTTAATTAAGGAGTACCATGGACTGCAGATTTTTTCATTTTCTTACAGCAACACTCCTTTCATAGTTGAATGAAGCAGCTGCTGCATATGATGTTTTTTCAGCTGTATCCTCCTAACAAGACCCCGTACAGCGCAGCTATACTCCCCCTCATAGATTTGAGCCTTTCAGTTTTCACCCTGTGGCAGAATCACTGGTTTTCTCTAACGGCCGTATGTTCTTCAATTATTCCCCCATGTTTCGTCTTCTGTTGGGTGTGGGTGTGTGTTCTGGGGATTAGAGAGAGAGAGGGCAGACCTCAAGTGAGTTAAGAGGATAACAAAGATAGAACAGACACACACACATATGCAGACAAACACACACAGGACCACATTAACATGCACACACAGTCACTTACACACACACACATACTCCCAATTGGCTGTTTCCATGGGTAGTGGCAGCTAAGTTACAGCAGAGCAGTGACGTGGGAAGGATGGTGCAATGAGCAAATTTCTACTTGTGGTTGAGCCATCAGCCCGGCAATCATTCAGGACAGGGGGCAGAAGTAATTCACTGTGGCATCACTGAAGTGTTGCCTGTTATGTTATTGACAAATACACATTTCACACAAGCTCATGTGGAGATGTGGAGTAGCCTGGGTGTCTTCCCACTGTTTCCAGCAGCTCTTGCAAGCACAAACAGTTCATAACTAATACATTATTCAATTGTTTATGACTTCTAAATTATTCATCTTATTAACAAACAGATTAATTCAGTAAGATACTGGATAAGAACTTTGAGTTTGCCAAGAATTCATCTTAAAAAGCATAGTACTTACAAATGTTAACGCTAAGATCTTAGATTGTTCAGTCAGCCTACATGAACATGAACATTTATTTTTCATATTGACAAACCACTGAACCAGTGATGCTATCAGGACACACTCATTTACACCTGGTTGTCACAGCCATCTGACAACAAAAAATCAGTGTCTAAGTTGACTTAATGTTACAGTAGTATTACCCCCAAAACCATCAAAACCAGAAGATGTTGCTCTTTTTCTGTCTATCTGCACTAATTCTGATACAGAATCACAGATTATTGGGTAAAACAAACTCCTCTCTGCTCGTATGAAGGCTGGATTTTAGCAGACACAGAAGCAGTTGAAAGTTTAAGACCACAAATATGATTGTATTTGTTTGTCTGTTTCTTATCATACACATACACATACACACACACACACGCACACACACACACACAAAGGGGTACTAATGAAAAAAACAAAAGGCCTATGTAACCCACAGTTCATTGCTGGGTTTAATACTGACAAAAACACATTTACCCTACTATGAAATAGGTGAAGTTGCTAACATAATTAGCCACATGTTTATGCATGCACATACAGTAGGTATAACAGACATAACTATCCACACTGGACAGTTTTCTCTTGGTATATACCAGTGGTCTGTGAAATGCCATGGCATTAACTTGAACCTTCCCATTCTTTTAAAGTAATTCGTATCCCTCTGCGATAAAGCAGAGTTATTGGAAAAGCCATTTGCTGTACGGCCATTTTGTAATCAGTTGCAGGTTGCACGACAGACAGTCAATTAGTGTTCGACAAAGCTTCTCCTTTTCATTTGACAAGCAGTTAACAACAATAGAATGAAAGGTTACCAGGAACATGTAGGTGTTTGATGCAGCACAGCAGTAAAGGTCAGCTGATGATTACAGTAGGTTTCTTTTGGGAAGATGTTGTCCTCAATCACAGACGCTCAAGACTCAACATGTTAGACTCAAACTCAGTGTAACAGTGTGATACTGGTCTCAAACAAATAACATGTTTTGTCCATCTTTACTATGTGTAATTACATAAGACTGGACTTCGTCCAGTGTATTTCAGTACCACGGAGAGCTCCCTCACTCTGCTCAGAATGACCTCTGTCCAGCAGGGGTCGCGGTTCAGTCGGTTTTCCTCTGTGGAACCATCGAGCTGTAGCGCCTCGGAAAGGGGGAGTGGAAAGAGTGTGACACAGTTACCGAACTGCAACAATGTAAACAGAAGGTAACTTTAACTAATTATTTCACATTTCCTACCTTTAAACGTAGTGTGCTTTGTCATATAACCGTTTGAATGTGCTGTTGTTCAGTGTCATTCATTCCTCTCCTCTAGTGTGTGTTTGTCGCTTTGCTATGCTAGGCTAATTACTGTTAGCCGCCTGTTCAATGTCAAAGCTTCGTTCACTGATTGTTGTTTTGTTTGCTGTCAGAAACCACAGCAGCTCATAGTTTCAAACGCTGAGTCCAAAAGGTGTGAAGGCGACAGTCTCAGGTGTGTTGAACCATTGACAGTATATATATACAGTATATATACTGTATATATAAGATCTGAACTTAGCATGCACCTGCCACTAGTGCACTAGATCTACACAGCACCAGACCAAAGAATTGTCTAGTTTCTTACAAGAAGTTGTTACTTGTGATTTAGAGTCAAACATCGCACAGTTTGTTTATGGTCTGCCCTGTCTCAAGACATCTATTGCGTATAGTAGATGAGCCATGGCCCTCATGTAAAATCCAATATAAATCCTTGGATCAGTCATTCATATAAAGGTATTTTTCTTTGTGTAACACTTTTCAAGCAAGCAGGACTAAGTGAATAATAAAATGCAAAAAGGGCATTATAACACATATGTGGGACATAAAATGCATTGGTTTGTTTTCTCTCGTCATGCAAATACAAGATCAAATATATTTAGAGGAAACACAAATGGTGGTAACATGGTAATATGGCTATCGCTTTATTATGTGAACAATATATCTTGTGGTCAGACAGGAAGGTGACACTGTAAAAAATTGTCTTAAAGGCATTATATAATGCACATACAGTTTACCATTTAACTAACAAAGCACATGTTCACATTGAAAGTAGTTCCTCAAATGATAGCTACATAGCTGCCAGAGAGGCTCGCTGAAGTAAACTAACTTATGTTTGGACATTGGCAGGTGTTCATTTCTCGATAGGCTCTCTCTACACACTCACATACACATTAAAACAAAGTGCCACTGCAGTCGTTCCCCTCCTCCAGTGTCTGGCAAAATGCCGCCACATTTATTCTTGCCAGTGTTTCTAACAGCTTTGGGTGTCCCAGTGATAAATGGGCAGAGACTGGCTATGCTATGGGTTGCTTCTCACTGGGGCCACCTATACTAATGCTGTACTCATACATTGTAGGGTGCTTTGGGATTACAAACTCCAAACAAATGACTAATTGGTTGTTAAGGTTTAATGCAACAAAGGCAAACCTCTGCGAAACTTTATAACATGGCAGGTACTTATAAGCACAGACTGACTTTTAGATATATAAAATCTTGGTGCAGAGTATCCTGCATAAGGCTTCAGAAGAGGACTCACTCTCTCTCTATCTGTCAGCTACTTTCAGTCCTCTCCTTTTCTTCCCGCTGTGCGACTCCCACATTGTTAATAACTCTTTCTTCTGGTTTCCTCCAGAGTTCTTTGACAGTGGTGTGAGCGGGGGTAAACCAAGATGGCCACCAGCCGCGTTCCACTAGTCTTGTTAGCCTGTGGCTCCTTTAATCCCATCACCAACCAGCACATGCGGCTGTTTGAGCTGGCCAGAGACCACATGCACAGCACAGGTCAGATCCGGACATCACAGACACTGTGCCAGTTAATCGTTTAATGTGTTTTATTTGACTTTCTAGATCACCTTCAGGGTCAAAGCAACTGCTGTAAAAGCTCCTAGATAATAGCCACCAATTAATATTATTTTTATTAACAATGAATCAAATGGCTATGTGTATAGTGAGAGTGCGGTTACTCACAGTGATAAACCTATAGAGAATTATGATCCAACTCTGCAGCTCTACAAGGCTTTTTATACTCATTGTTCTTCTTTTATGTTCTACAAATTTATGGTTTGGTTTCCCCACTCTCATCAACCGCAGCAGCATGAAGTTGTTCCCAGCAAACAAGCCCTGAGACCTACTGTCTCTTATCTACCCAGCACCAAACGGCAGACGTACAAAGTTAGAGACTAGCTGGAGATGAAAGTTGAACACCTAACAAGTTAAAGATGTATTTGTCTCAGAAATTGGTTGAATCCAAGAGCTCAAAGGAGAATAAATATTAGACCTGCATGATGTCAGGTGTCCAACACAAACATGACTCCAAATGAATGCTAATGTGGCTTTGTTTCTTCCTGATGAGAAAGCAGGGTATTTGCTAACACTTTTGTAACAACTTTATAAGACAATAACAGGGCTTAGTTTTTCAGCCTGTTGTGGAGTCCTAGCCCCCTAGTGGCCCAAATATTGATTAATGCAGCTTTAAACACCCCACATTATTGTGTATTTGCTGAACTACAATCAACAACATGAATACATTAAAAGTAAAAATTAATTTCATTGATTGTTTGCAAATATACAAACCATATGTGATTTTTTTCCCCTGATGCTGCAAAGACCTAGGTTTCGTCCTTATTGTTGTCATTTTGTTTAAATTATGAACTCAGTCACCTGAGGTTATGTGTCTTGACATGATGCCACACAGCCCCATGTAACCGTGTCAGCAGACACAGTCTCCTTATATAAACCCAGGGCCATTTGCTTCCAAAGCTGCTCTTAATACGAGTACTGGCCTTGTCACATGGTCATAACAACATCATTATACCTTAAGAGTTACTACTAGTCTTGAGTCAGCTCTCTCTAAGATGCTTGCATATAAGTTGCACGAACATAAATAATGCTCTTATAGTTCCCCATTGACCCCTCACCTATAAGACATCAGCTGACTAAATTGGGGGTAATGAGAAAATGTGTTTTTCTCCCGTTTGCTAAATGTTTGTGCTAGTGTCGCAAATACAACCCCTTTTTAAACTTTTATTCTAACTCATTGTTTAAATCTGTCTCTAAGCCCCTCAAATCGATTACACATTATAAACCATGAGTAATTATATAGTTTGATACTTCATGTCATGCTCAAGCGCCTTCATCTCCCTGATCAGTAAAAAGATCAGTTGTGGCGTTTGTCCTCAAATGTGAGATCTGATGAAGCAGTAATAATAACATCAGTATCTCTCAGAGATTACCACTGATTTATATTCCATTTCTCTATCGGCTGTCATGACCCAGAAAAACTGTATTAATCTTCTCTCCCTACAGGCCAGTACCAGGTGGTGGGTGGCATCGTGTCTCCAGTGAGTGACGGCTATGGAAAGCAAGGCCTGGTACTTGCTAAGCACCGAATTGCTATGGCAAAGCTGGCGCTCCAGAGCTCCAACTGGGTCACGGTTGATGAATGGGAGAGCAAGCAGCCAGACTGGACAGAGACTGTGGTCACCATGAGGTATAAAACATGTTTAAAGAAAGGAAAGGTTTCCATGGTCCAAGAAGGGGAACATGCCAGATTATGTAGGATGAGTGTTTGGTCCCTCTGTCACCAGTTGCCAAATTACATCAGTGATTAGATCCACTATTACACAACATCTTTATAATGCAGTAAGTAATTCCCTGTTCTTCCATTGTGTAAATCAGAATGCTCCCGTCGTTTATGAGAGAGGAGATTTACTTCACAGAAATGTAATTTGGGCAGAGTACAGAGAAAATGCGATTTTTTTTCTGTGTTGACCTACAGAAGTGGTTTCCAATCAGAACCCCCACTAGAGATTGCCAAAGCTTCACGGGGGGTTGAAAGGCTTAATTTAAAGGAGTGCCAATAGAGCAATGGCCAGGTGTCAGGGAGAAGAACACAGAGGATGGGCCAAAAAAGAGGCCTATAAAGTATGTATGATTGTTAAAATATATATATACATAATACAAACAGAGAACTGTATAAAAACCTCCATAAAAACTCATATATATATATATATATAATATACACTGAAAATAACTAAAACTAACTAAACAAAATTCATCCAAATTGCCCACCCTGTTAACCTGTAACCCTGTTTGGGTTAATGGTATAGTTTATCAGTTGTTTTGTACTGTTATGTATTGAACACAATATGAAATATCCATAAAATGTGTCACTTAGTCAGGGGTCGTCAGTTTACTAGATAAAAGAAGTTGTTTTCCCTAAGGAAAAAGGTTGGGAACCACTGAACGAACAGTGTCAGAGCTGTGATTATGATTATGCTCCTTACTGACATGATAGCATGTCATGTCACGGGAGATCTTTTGGTTTCATGGCAGGAGCAAACACATCATGGTTCTGACTGTTACTCTGTAACTGCTTATGGTTTCCATTAGCTTTTTCTGTCTCCTATTACATCCTTCTTTATCCTTGTTGGAATATAACAGAAATACTTTTTCTTTTCTGACACGTCCTAGTTTTCCCAGAGTTCACAGCAATGTACCCTCCTCTGCCCGCCTTGTCTGCCAGCTTCAACTTCTTATGTAATAGAATATTGCCAGGTTCCCTGAGCCTAAATTTCAGGTTCTGGTCTCTTGGGGGCTGCCAGACTAGACTGGACCCATGTCAGGTCTGGGTTTTTCATGAGGTAAAATTGAGGGCACGGGCTGTTAAATTCACTGGCCGAGTGGGAACAGTATAGTTGCAAAAGGCAGGCAGAGGTGATGTGAATAAGGGATGTCTAAGTCTAAGTAATGGCCCACTCCATATCTTTGGCCCCAGGGAATTAATCATCTAATGGAAGAATTGTACCTCACACTGTATTATTGCACACACCTACTGTATGTCATGTATTCGACTTATTTTAAAAAGGCCTCTTACACCTGCATTGAACTTTTTCCATTTTATCCACTCTTCGTCTTTGCTGCTCCACATTTCTCACAAATCCATTCATGGGTTAACCCCCCACCTCCACCCCCACCCCCAGGTGATTTACTCTAAGTAGTGTTTGCGCAATATGGGTGCTGATCAAGGCATGAAGTGGCCCGTTGTCCAGAGCAGGCACACGTCATCTCACTCCCCACAAATGTACTAGAACAGCTTTAAGAAGCTTTACTTGAAAACAGTGAAGTTTTTCATTCATCTTTTTTTTACAAGTTTCTCTGTGACTCATGGGTATTTCTCTCTATAACTCAGTTCAGTTTTATAAGGCTCGAATGGCATTACATAGAAAAACATGTTGCCCATGCGCATGCATAAACAGAGTGACATAAATAATACATGAATATACAACAACTAGCTACTGGTAACAACCATTTACATAAATGAAATAAATAAATTCTCCCTCTCTCTTTCTGTCATACCTTTGGTTGTTGAGCAGGTATCATTATGGGCGTATTCTGAAGGAGTATGAGCAGAGCACAGAAAGGAACAGTGACTCCAATGAAAACACCACTCCGCTCTCAAGTAAGAACCTCTTACTGTTGGGAACTTGGGATCAGCTCAGAAAGCCTCTGACTGACTGTTTTCAGGCATTCTATAATTGGTATTAATTTGTGGCATTGGTAGTGAATTCTTCTCATTGTGGGATGTCGGTGTTGGTTGGTCAGTTAACTAATTGGTTCTAATATGTCATAAATATAAATATAAATAACCCTACTTTAGTTGATCACCAAATACCTGCAAAACTAATGCCATTCCCATTGGCCAGAGCTGCACTCTGTATTAGTGCTAATTAGCAATTGTTAGAATACTTACACACTTAGATGGTGAACATGGTAAACATTATACCTGCTGAACATCAGCATGTTAATATTGTAACTGTGAGCATGTTAGCATGCTAACTTTAGCATTGCTGTGCCAAAGTACACCCTCACGTACTCTTTTTGAGATTAGAGTTTACATAATAATAGTATTCTTCCGGTGTATAAAACACACATTGCAAATTACATATCAAATCTTCAACAAGCCCTAGGGGTTAAGGATTTACATCAATCCTACATAATGTGCCTGTGTGTGCTTAACACATGCAAAGTAGAAGCCTAATGGTGCTCTGGGGTTCTGACTAACAGTGGTTAAAGACTATGGGGGATCATTTTAATACTGTTGAGACTTTGTGTGTGTGTATATGTGTGTGTAAAGGAGGAACCAGTCCACAAATACATAGCTATAGCATGTGTGAACATGATGGTTGTTGTATAACTGGAAGCTAGCCATTGAGCCACATTTTCCTGGATCATCTGTGATTTATCAAAGTCATTAACAGGCATATCTGTTTGGGCCCTACAGCTTTTTTACATAAAGATGACACCTTTTATGAAAAATAGGATTGTGGATAGGCATAGCCATGAGATCTGTCAGAGATGTGTGGAAAACTGCGTATGTTGTTTGCAAAGGTGGACATTCTTGCCAAAACAAAGTCTCTGTTGGTCTCTTTTTAGTTAATTTATGTACAGTCTTCTAAACACAAATCACAGTTGTGTTTGTTGAGTTTGTGGTGTTGTTGTTAGGTTTTGCTTTAGCCTCCAGCACCATGAATATCTAAGTTGTGACATTTGTGCAACTAGTATGTCAGTGTCCTTCATGTTCTGAATTTGGTCTGGTTCAGACTCAAAATGTTCACTCAATTTTTCCTCGATATTCAATTCAATTCAATTCAATTTTATTTGTATAGCGCCAATTCATAACAGAAGTTATCTCAGGACACTTTTCAAATAGAGCAGGTCTAGACCGAACTCTTTAACATTAATTACAGAGACCCAACAGTACCACCATGAGCAAGCACTTGGCGACAAGGGCAAGGAAAAACTGCCTGTTAAAAGGCAGAAACCTAGGACAGATCCTCCGGCTCTAGGTGGGTGGTCGTCTGTCTCGACCAGTTGGGGTGAGAGAGAGAGAGAGAGAGAGAGAGAGAGAGAGAGAGAGAGAGAGAGAGAGAGAGAGAGCGACAGACAGACAGACAGACAGGTGCACAGCAACAACAGATATTCACATCACCAATGCCTTATTCAATCAATCAATCAGAATGTATTACACTCACACACACACACATACACACATAAAGTAAAGTAAAGTAATATGTGTTTTGGTGAACATATCTTATCAAGTTACAGTGAGGAAACACTGGAGGCTGTTCCAGAGAAGAGGACCATAGTGATAAAAAGATGCCTCACCCTGGATCTTTGTTCTGACTTTTTAATTAAAAGGCCACTACCTGACCACCTGAGGGTTCTAGAGGGTTCATTTTGTATAAGCAAATCTAAGATCATTAAGAGCTTTACAAACCAACAAAAGGACCTTAAAATTGGTTCTGAAGCGCAAGCTTATTTAGCTTGATTGTGGATTAGCCATTTGGCAAATGCTCAGTGAACTGTTTCCATTTATTCTTGAGGATTATGTCACTCTTTGCCATCATGATTGCTCAGAAAAAAACACAGAATTAGAACTGATACGTCAATGATTTAATGAATAAGCCGATCACAGGATAATTTTGGGTGAAATCATTTGAATGAAACTAGTGATGCCAGACCCAAGAAAGGTGAAAATTAAAATTGTACAGGTGACTGATGAGTGAATCCCTTTTGAAGGTAAAAACAAAGGATTCATGGGACCGATTTGAGGCAAGCTCTTTATTCTTATGAATCATTGTTTACATCAACAAGCACTATAAACCTTAAAGTAGAATTAGTTATCATACTCAGAATGAATTATATTGAGCAGTAGCTCTGGCCCCTCACTGCATATCAATTCCCTCAATTCCCCTTTATATGTGTATATGTGAATTTATTGGGTAGATATTCAAAGATAGTCTGATTAGTAAAGAAGTAACCAGTCTTCCTCCTCACTACCTTATTCCACCTCTCCCTCAGATCCCTGTCCCCAGCTGAAGCTCCTGTGTGGAGCTGATTTCCTCGACACTTTCAAGATCCCTGGCCTGTGGCGGGACGACCACGTGGAGGAGGTGTCTGGGCGTTTTGGCCTTGTCTGTGTCAGTCGAGGGGGGCTTCAGCCTGAGAGAGCAGTGCACGAGTCAGACACGCTCTCGCGCCACCGTCAAAACATTTTCCTGGTGCGGGAATGGGTGAGGAACGAGACAAGCGCCACAGATATCCGCCGGGCTCTGAGACGGGGGCTCAGCGTAAAATACCTGATCCCAGACACTGTGATAGAATATATTCATCAGCACAACCTCTACACGGAAGACAGTGAGAGGAAAAATAAAGGCACGGTGTTGAGGCCGCTCGCCAAAGAGGCACAACAGCTAGTGAAGAGTCTGGATGACTGATGGATGGAAGGGTGCAGCATGGAGCCGAACATGGGAGCCCTTGAAGTGTGAATTCGCTCACAGATCACTAGTTCTCTTCAGGGCCTGGTAGCTCTGTTGAATTCCACCAGACTGCAGCATGATAGAGGTTTGCACAAGCTGCAGATGCCTACAGAGACACACCAGTTGGCCTAAATGTGTTTTCCAGCCATCTCTTGTTTTCAGTCAAAAGCGTCTACACGGTGTCTTTTGAATCATACACAGTGTTGCAGATACTGAGCCTCATCTTTGTGCCACAGTGTGAATGAACAATTGTTTGCTAAAAGTTTTCATCCTTTGTAGTTTTACATATGGAACATCATTGCAGAGTTTAAATTAAAACCTGTATATTTGAAGTATTTTTGTCTGATTGGTGTTTTTCCATGTAGCTAAAATATAATCATAAACCAGGCAGTGCTGTAACCAGGATTTTAGAAATAATGGGGTCATGAGTCCCCCCAACAACCCAAATCCCACCTGCAGAGAGAGAAGAAAGTTTGTACTAGATACTACACTACTGCCGTTTTACAGTTTAATATATTTGTATAAATATAAAACATATCAGAGTTTGCCAGGGATAAAATTATAAAAGCATGGACTTATTTCTAGTATTGCTGTATTATTTTCAAAGTCTACCAACCTTTATCGAACAGAGACAGGCATTCAATGACTGATATCAAGATATATTAGAAAATAACTTAAGAAACTGAAAACAGAATTATATTAACAAAGGATTTTTTTTTCAGAAAGCAGAGAAGATCAAAAGCATCAAAGACAACCAAACGAAATGACTTCATAAAAGACACAGGTTGTGAAACATAGTTCAAGGTACAAATATTCATCAGGATAGTAAAAAAGTAAAAAAAAGTGTAAAAAAAAAGTAAAAGTAAAAAAAAAAAAGTGACCTGTTCAGTTCCATTTTCTGAATATTTTATTTTACAACATGAAGGTCTAAAACTTGGGGGACTTGAAAAATGTATTCCACTGCATTTAAAATACAAGGATACAAAGTTTATTAATGGCCATTTTGTTAATGGTTCCCTTTATACTAATGATAAAAAAAAAAAAAAAACATACAAACAGAGTAAAACTGATTAATAAAACACCACAACAACACTTAAGTGTTTTTTGTTATTTTGTTTCTTGGTTTCTGTAGCACTTTTTATGAAAAGTGCTTTACAAATAAAATGTATTATTATTATTATTATTATTATTATTACCACTGTGTGTGTGTGTGTGTGTGTGTGTGTGTGTGTGTGTGTGTGTGTGTGTGTGTGTGTGTGTGTGTGTGTGTGTGTGTGTGTGTGTGTGTGTGTGTGTGTGTGTGTGTGTGTGCATATACTGTTTATATTAGATGGCGTGCATCCTAACTACCACAGACTATCCGGATTCCCCAATGTGTACGTTTTTAATTGTACAAATATAAACTGTTTGCTGTTTTAAATTTTTCCTTACATTAAGATCATTGTTGGTGTCTCTACTTTAGCACAACGGCAATTCATTGTGGATCTATTCAGCTTCGCCATTATCATCCACACACTGTGTCTGTGAGGCATGTTTTTTTTTTTTTTTTCCACCAAAGGATTTAAAGTAATCCTGACAGTTGCTCAGCTACAGGAGGTGTTTTCTCACTGAGGCCAATGGCTGAAAGCACCACTGTGGATGATACTAACTGGCATCCTTTGAAAGATGGTGTGTGTATGTGTGTTTGTCTTTTTGTCTGTGTTCCAGTCAGTAAAGGATTTAGACAGTGGGTTTGCTGCAGCTGGCCCAAAAGAGAGATTACCAAATTAATTGAGTTATTTAAGCGAGACAAAAGATGTGACAGTCCTTTTGTGCTGCGTTTAATTGTTCCAGTTGGATCATTTTAAACTCAGGTGATTCTGCTTTTGTACTGTGCATATTATCCTCACTGTGCACTCCATTCAGCCACATTCACTGACTGATCAGTGTTTTAATAGATCTTTGTGTGATTTTACTCCATTAGGCAATTGTTGATGGCCCTGCATAACGATTATAACCCTGATTAAAACATGATTGAAGTGGCTTCATCTTATACAACAGAAACAGGCCAAATCTGACACACGTGGAATTCCATGAGTGCACCTCTGTTAATTGATAAAGGTGGTGTTTACATCCTAATCCCACATAAGCATTTTCCAACATAAAGCACACAAGTGTATTCAACATTATGTATGCATGCTGCATATGATGTCAGGAAAGCATGGTGAGGTGTTATGCTGAGTCAACAGAGGCCCTCCCTCTGGGAGGCGCATACAGGCAGATAATCGGATTAAAGTGAGTATAGTTCAAATTGAGGCTTTTCAAAGCAGGTTGTGCACTCAGTCACAAGTAGCCATCCACAGCGGACCTCCTCATTCACTGGAAGTAAGGAAACCAGCAGAGTAACAGCCAACATGCCAGTTGATTTGAATGGATATTGGAAAATGATTTCCAATGATAACTTTGAGGAGTACCTGAAGGCTCTTGGTAAGTTGATAGCAGCAGGGGGTGGTGGATGAATAGGCATGGTAAAGGCATATCATTATTAAATCACAAATATTGAGCTCTTAATTCCAAAAAGTTGACATTGTAAAGCTGTAAATAATCTTCTGCTATTCATGAAAAGCCTAAGTAGTAGTATAGCACGTTTGCAGCCATCTAGTATTTAATTTCAAATCTCCCATTGTGATATCTTAACATCTTTTAATTACTTTTAACTAATAACTGTAGTTATGGTCAGGAATACCAGACACTTTTTAGATGTAACGCGACAGAAATGTTCCACTTTGCATCAAAATAAATAAGCCTGATTGAAAAATGTCACATAAAAATTGCTGCAACATGTTTTTATATCTGCACACACACGTGTCTTTCAAACTGGTTCAAACTCATTCCCCTTCTCCCCTGTTTCTTATTTATTTGCCTCTTTCTTTGGGGACCTGTTTCAGATGTAAATGTTGCCATCAGGAAAATTGCAACCTTGTTGAAGCCTGACAAGGACATCACCCATGATGGGGACCACATCATCATCAAAACCCTCAGCACCTTCAAAAACTACAACATGGACTTCTATGTGGGCAAAGAGTTCGAGGAGGATCTGTCTGGAGTGGATGACAGGAAATGCATGGTGAGTGCTTGGACCAAAGAGGACATTTAATACATTTTAATGAACGTATACATGATGCATGACTTTTTTAAATGCTTGAGAAACCTGTTAAACCACTTATTTAGGTGCTATAGTTAAATTACACTGCTGCAGGTGAGGGGGCCTGTGGCATTAACACATCTCCCTTTGGTGCAAAACCTGTAAAATGTATGAACTGACTTTTCTTGGTGGCACCCCTCCAGATTATAATGAGCATATGGTGTGCTGAGATTTGGCCATTTTATACAAAACTTTCCACCTACTTACAAAACTTTCCTCAAACTTTTCACACTCTTGTCAATGAATTGATGTAATGAGGACCAACATCAGTTACTGCAGAAAAAAAAACTGGGATAGGCAAGACTTGCCTTTATTTAATCAGATTTTGTCCCTGAATACTAAACAGGATCAAAGATTATCTGTGGTCCCCCTTGAAAAACCTTTTTCGTATGCTGATTATAGATAAGCTATAAGCTGTTTGGAGGGCGGCTGAGAGAAAGCGTCACGTGTGTCTGTATGTGCAAATTTGATCAGAATTTGTTTTTTAAGAGGTGGAGACTGAGACTCCCCTTCCACATATACATATACATGTATATAGGTTAAAATCTATATTTCTATGAGAGTATAATATAATACATGCTGCATCCACATCATGTATTATAATCACATTTTCTCCCTGACCTGTGACCTCATGCAGACCACCATCAACTGGGAGGGAGACAAGCTGGTGTGTGCGCAGAAGGGAGAGGTTGAAGGAAGAGGCTGGACCCACTGGGTGGAAGGAGATGAGCTTCATTTGGTGAGAAAACATCAGCTCCTGTCATGAATATTAATGTATGCAATTTAGACACTTTAATCCAAATCCAAAATGCCTCTCAGCTCTGTATGTGCAGAGCATATTTTTTTTATGTATGACTTCTGAATCGGCTCACTGGCTCCAAAAGCAGTTACGTTACATGTATGTTCTGTGAGGTTCATTCACAATGTGAAAAACGTTTATGCAAGTGTGTGGTTGTCATTGTGCTAATTTGTTACCAAATAAATCATACTATTTAAGGAGCTACCTCTAAAGGTACTGTTTTAAGAGGAAAAGCATATGTTCAAGTAACAACTTTTTAATATATTTTTAAATGAAAAGCCATACAGATTCTGCTACTCGTCATCTAGCATCAGCATCGGCCTCTGTCATGGTATTATCTGGACTTTTCCAATCTAATGTCTGTTAGAAGGACTTCATTAACTTTTCTTTTTATAAAACATGTCCTGAGTGAAATTCATAGTGTGGCCCAGTGTGGCCTGTAATGAAAGCATTAGCATCTGAAAAGACTTTAAAGTAATGACTAGTACATTACCATTTTCATTAGCTCGGCATTATCAGATTTCCCTCTCTATGATTACTGCTATCAAAGCTAAGCAAAAAAAAATCTGCCAAATTATTTGGTTTAAGTGATGCCAACAGATGTTTTCAATCAGCGGCCATGAAATTAGTTATTAGTTGGAAGTTCCCAAGAGCTGGAAGGAGGTTTTAATGTGGAGCAACAGTGGCCTCTGTTGGCAGGAAATAGATTGCTAGAAGGTTGCTGGACGCATAGGGTAAAGTCAGACAACAGTTTTTCTCTGATTGTACAATTTAGGAAGGAGAGTAGGGCTTTTGATCATGTCATCCTCTTCTTGGTCATTCCTTTAGGTCCGTCTAAAAACTTTAAATTACCTTCTGTTCTCTGTAGGAGCTAAGAGCTGCAGGAGCTGTTTGCCAGCAGGTCTTCAAGAAAACCTAAGCTGGCTCTTATTGAACGGGACTGTGCCCCTGGCTGACGTTGGCTCACAGTTGGAAGACTCTGACATACCATCCACCTTCCCTTTGGTCCATTCATACAACTCTACATAGGTCCATCTACCAATCTTTTATGTACTTTTCTATTACAAACGCTACTTTTGCCAACCATCACATCAGGTTTTTGCATTACTCTGCCAAAGCCTATTCACATGATATATATTATTATACCATAAAGTACAGTGGCAGGGGCAGGTCAGTGTGTGTATCACGTAACATTTCAAAATGCAATACTGTAGATCTGTCTCAGGGTGGGTGCTGTTTTGATTAACAAGTTTAGATGTGTTGGATGCAAACATACTGCTGTGGGTGTAACTGATCTGATGGGTGAGCCAGATTGGTAAAGCAATGCACTGAAAGGCCCAGTGGTAAAGAAGAGAACAGTAATTAAAATGGTTGAACCCATTTTAGTTCTCTGAAGGCTTGCTGTGGATGGAAAAAGATTAAAATGTGAGTATGTTTGAGGGCTGTGAACTCATTTGCTACTGATGCTTACTCTCCCGAATGAATATCAGATGTAATGTGTGTATTTATCCCTCCCGAATTCCTCTGGGACTGTGACATTGACAGTAAAAAATAATTAACCAATAAAGTGAACAGTGCTACATGTCATGTCATTTGTCTTTTTCTGATGGTTAAACCACTTTTTTTGTTGATCAGACTTGTTGGTAAAGTAAAATGTTTTGGTAGTTCAGGCACACAAAAGACATGACTGGTTGTTATTTACTGAATTTTATCCTTTTATCTAAAATTACCTTTTCTAGATGCACACAGGGAATCTACTTGAGAGTTTCAGTGAGTGAAGTGAAGCCTGTGGAGCTTCAGAAAACTCGAAGCACACTCTGAATCAGCTCATCAGTCAGCTCACTTTGTGCAGTGCCATTACCAATTGGGCAGTCTGTATAAGCTGTCCAACTCACTTGCTCATTCCCTGTTGCTGCTCGCCCTGCTGTTCTGCCTCCTGTTGCATCTTGTGCATTCACACCCCGCCACAACCCCAGCATCTACCTGCAGGCTCTGTTTATTTATGGTTCCCCAGGGGGTTGTTATTGATCTCTCCCTGCTCTTGCTTTGGCTGATTAAAAAAATTATGCTCCCAGGGAGGGGTCGAAACAGAGTCTGGCGCCAGAGTAAATTTTGTATTTGCATTTATTCTCCATAAAACGCTTCTACTAAGTGCAGCGAGTCATCTTGCTGAGAGTCTGTTACTCAACTCTCATTTTGATCCACAATCAACAGGCGAGCAGCTCGACACTTTTCATTTTTGGCAATTACATCATTTCAAAGTCTAGTCTACCAAAAAAAAATGTTTTCCTTGTTGTTAATTCACAAAGATGTTTTAAAACTTCACTGTGAATAATGATGTAGTACACTAGGAGACACATCGTTACCTGAAGGGGAAAAGGTTCTCTTTGCTCATCTTAATATGCAACTCAAAGAAGTGTGATATGGGAACCTGACACCTTCAGAACATACACTGTACAATGTAATGGACTTTTTAGATATCTTGTGTCTGGTAGTTACAATTGTAATCCTTAAGAACTGAGTCCTATTTGATTTGGCGACACCTGTGGTTACTGGTGGTAATGTAGCACATTTTAATAATGTCCCAGACTTCCATCAGAAATGACCTGTTTATAAATCACAGGGAGCAGAAAATGCATTTTGAGCATAGCCTTCTGTGAAATTGTCTCAGTGTGGGACTGACATTTCTAACTACCATATATACAGGTAACTAATGCGTGTAAACACATTTAATGGCTATAGGAGAATAAATGCCAGCCATAAACAGCATCAGAAATTGGGTTTGATATGACCAACATCTCAAGGATTAAAACTTTATACTTTTGAAATAAACATATTTGCATTTTCACAGATCTGGATTTTTCAATTCAAGATCTTTTTAAACAAGTTAACTGAACTTTTACCCACATTTGAGAAATTGCATCTATTCAAAGTATTTCCAGAAATATTTACAAATGCAATTTTTCTTACTGTTAGACCAGTTGAACTTTATTAACCTTCATGCTCAAAGTTCAGGTATTCTGGATTAGTATTTGAGTTTGCCTCAGAAAAAGTTCAATAAAGAGCACACACTGTTGGCAGATGTTACAAAATAGTTCTCCTGTCTGTACATTGTACACTGACCATCACTGTAGTGTCTGCATGTGTATAGAGTGCATGTGGGACAGAGCTGGTGTGTGTGTGTGTGTGTGTGTGTGTGTGTGTGTGTGTGTGTGTGTGTGTGTGTGTGTGTGTGTGTGTGTGTGTGTGTGTGTGTGTGTGTGTGTGTGTGTGTATGTGTGTGTGTGTGTGTGTGTGTGTGTGTGTGTGTGTGTGTGTGTGTGTGCGCACCCTCATATAGGCCCTTTGCAACCTCCCCCAGTGACCGTATAAAGGCTGAGAGAAAAGCGTTAGTCTTCCCCCTCCGCCTCCTAAATAGTTGTCACTGCCAATCACTTTGAAGCTATAAACCCACTTATCAATAGTTTTCTGCCCTCATGCCCCCTGACTCAAATAAAAGCAGGAGGACTCCCTGCACCTTCCCCCTCCTTACACTGTCTAAAGTCTACAACAACGCCAGCTGCCACCATGCCTGTAGACTTCAATGGGAAATGGATACTGGAAACCAGTGAGAAATTTGAGGATTATTTGAAAGTGCTGAGTAAGAAACTTTTTTATTTTGGTTTGAGATGCAGTCATATGTTTTGTTATAGTTATATGTAGTATTACAAGGTGAGGTGACAGGTTAGCAAGCTCCACGTGTAACAAAATCATCCAATTTAATGCTCTCCTTGTGTTACTGTTAGATCTTATCTGGAGGTAATGCAAAAATTGTTTATTTATGATGTCAAATACTATACTGTAAGACTTTACATTGAAGTGAGTGAAACTCTGCACATTCCCTCACCTATTCCTCTAAAAATATAATTTATGTTCTACAATCTGGCTACTCTAAAACGTATATATGTATAATCAGTCTCTCTTTTGTGGCCCTAGATATTGACTTTGCAACAAGGAAAATTGCCATCTCCCTGTCTCAGACCAAAGTGGTAGCTCAAGATGGAGACAAGTTTGACTTCAAAACACTCAGCACCTTAAGGAACTATGAGCTGGCCTTCACTGTAGGGGTTGAATTTGATGAGCACACCAAGGGACTAGACAACAGAAATGTCAAGGTGGGTTGATGTCTCTCGTATATGGAGTCCTTGAAGGGACAAGCCCATGATAGTTTATCTGACTAGTCAATATTTCCCCTTTACTTCTAGCTTCTGATAATGAGAACATCGTTATCTAAGTGTGTCTAGGGCAAAGATTGGTCTTTGGTATCAGAGCTGAAAACAGACGCAACCACCAGTAGTGTGCCGACGGTAAAAAATGAACAGAGATGAGCAGTGATGCACTGTTACGTTGAATGCCAACGAATGGAAAACTTTTGAAAAAGAAGTCCAGGGAAGACCAGGCTTAAATATGTTTACAGTCTCTCATAATATCACTGACAGAAATGACTTGCCAATGGAACCTCGGATACCTGCAGGCATTTTAGCCATATAATATAATAAGCCACAAGGAAAATAGGAAATGCTGTTGTGAGAGTAAATTAAGTTTGATTTTTAATTGAATTCATAAAATAGTTTGAGGTTATTAAAGCATTGTATTTTTACAGTCTCATTACAATAGGCCTATGTGTAACAAGTTGTTATTCATTGATAGTATAAGTTTAATTATAATTTTGGGACAGCACATAGCTTATTTTAGTGACAATTTTCCGTTCTGAGACTCCCCAGAGGCACACTGACCGATATGTTTAGTATGTTTTTATGAAAAAGAACAGCAAATGTTATTAGTCTACAGTAAAAGCTGTTTTCCTTCAGTGCTAATGACACATCAACATGAAAGCAATCCTAAATTGGCGAGTCTTAATGGCAGCAGTAACCTTGAGGTTTGAAAAGTCAGCCTGTGAGCAGACAGGCTTGTCATTAGAGGAAATTCCTTACCACAATTACCACATTACAGAGTTATGAATTAAGCTCATTATTTAATGAATGCACTAAATGTTGTGTTGTAGAGTCTGGTGACCTGGGAGGGAGACAAGCTTGTGTGCACTCAGAAAGGAGAGAAAGCCAACCGTGGCTGGAAACACTGGATCGAAGGAGACAAACTCTACCTGGTGGGTTGGCAGTATTTGTCATGATAATTAGAGTTTTGTGAAAGATTTGAAGACCAGAACATGGGCTTATGCGATTGCTAAATTGTGTAAGGGCAGTTTTTACAATGTTATTGCTCTCATTTCTTTCTATTCCTCTGCTGAATGATATTAACAGATTCATTTTTTTCCCACAGGAGCTGACGTGTGAAGATGTAGTTTGTGTTCAGGTGTTCAAGAGAAAAGAATAAAAGGCAAAATATCTGTTTTTGTTTTCATTTACTCAGTTAACAAGGTCTTTGTTTGCTCAATAACATGTTTTTATCAAACTGATGAACAAAATAAAAAACGGTGCTTTTCAGACAATGTTTTGTTCTGTATGTGAATAAAAACAAACCTGTTTGTAAGTTTGGGTCTATACAGTGGGTCTAACACCAGCATTAATAGTATTACCTTACACAAGGTGGCTGCTAGAAAGTCAAACTGATATCAAAGTTTGACTAATAGTACTTTTCATTCTAAAACACTTGTAATTAATGTGACCTAATGTACTTCTTCTACAGAAAGTGTAACACTAACTAAGGAACCGACTTTTGAAAGAGTAATAATTAAGTAAAAGTAAAAGTATCTGTTACACATTGCATTAAACACTTCCTACCGTTGGGTAAAAAGTTAGGTATTTTCTAAAGCAATGCTTAAACCGCCATCTGCTGGAAAAATTTGGTAGTATGTTGGAGTTGTGATGAAATGACAACATATAACAATAACATCAAATCTAAACCTCTTCCACTTCTCTGGAAAAGTTGATGCAACCATGTGCAAAGTGTTTTTAATATATTTCATCACTATGCAGCATAATGCGATGGTTGGCTTGGAAAATAGCTGGTAGATGGTTGTTTATTATTATAAATTATTCCCATCCCTCTTCCCTCGCTAGGATTAGTTTGACTGTGCTCTTGAGGGTGTACGTAGTTGTTTTGTAAAGTAATGACTGACAGCTATTTTCCAATCAGGCCGATTCTACTTTGATGCCTCACAGTTAATATTCAGTGCATGTGTAGGCCTATGCTGTTTTTTGGTTGTGTGTGTCCAGTCAGCTCAGTTTCTCACTAGGGATTTTCTTAAAATGTTATTGCAACATTTTACTGTTACTATAATATATCGTCTAAAGTCCTATTTTATGTTGTAACATTTTACTCAATATTTACAAATGAACTACTGTATGTAGGATATACATTGCTACAAAAACACGCCTGGCACAGTTTCCAAGGTCATCCCAGTGTCCTTAACACCTCTATATAGTTGAATTAAATCAACTCATTCATGTATACATTTATTTTCATTTAACTATGAACTATTTGATAGTTAACTATTTATTGCTCAATAAATCTCAGACACGTATGAAATAGTGCGAATAAGTAATCTGACAATATCTTGGTATAATGGTGTTTGAACTCATACAACCAGGGACAAGAAGACAAAGTGCATAATGTTTGCTGCTCCTGTCACCGTGGCAGCACAGCACCTAACACAGCTGACCGTGTCACGTCACCACTTCCACCGCGCAACTCTCGCGAGATTGAGTTACAGGAACTTCCACGTCAGTATCCAGTGCTCTGTTCACTGAAATCGCAACATTTGGACCCGGATTGCAATTGTTCACAACACATTTATCTGATCTTATTGCGACAACGACGGGATAAAACATGGTAAGAGACATTTAAAAGTGGTTACCGGCATGTTTTGTTTCCGTACATGTCACCTGATTAATTTTTTAAAGAAGAATTAAGCAGTGTCAAATAATAATGCATCCTTGTGAATAGCTTAGCGGCTAACTAGCTTGAGTTAGCATGAGAGCTTGTAGCTAACTGCTGTTTAACATTTCTAACCAAGGCTGCCTGTAACCTGTAACCTTTGTATGTGCTTACAGTTGTTTTGAGTCAGTTGTCGATTTAAATATTATAGGTCGTGTAAGTATAGGATTATTGGAACCTCTGAAATGTATGAGGCTCAGTGTTAGCATGCTAACGGTTACTGTACTGCCTGTCCTTTTATTCCGGGTTTTTACCTTTGACGCTACAGAGGTCTACTAAATTGTTAAATGCCCATAAAAAGCAACTTACACTGAGAGTTTGAACCGCATAGGAAAAGACACTGATGTCCTCTGTCCTTTCAGCCTCTGAGGCTGGACATTAAGCGGAGGCTGACAGCCAGGTCAGACCGAGTGAAGAGTGTGGACCTTCACCCAACTGAGCCATGGATGCTGGCCAGTCTGTACAACGGCAGTGTCTGTGTGTGGAACCACGAAACACAGGTATGATCACAAATCAATGGACCACCAATACGAAGTTGCACTAGACAGTATATAAAGACTGATAGCCAAACATTTATGCTAGAATACGGCACTTTATAATCAATGACTGATTTGACGGACACCTGAAAGTAGTGATGATGCTGCAAACCATAACCATGTCAGCAATGTTCTTTCTTTTTTTCCCCAGACTCTGGTCAAGACCTTTGAAGTATGTGACCTTCCTGTCAGAGCTTCTAAGTTTGTGGCAAGGAAGAACTGGGTCATCACTGGAGCAGTGAGTTACAACCAGTTGTTTGTGTTGGGATTACCACCCTGACCGGTGTCATCTGTGACATTTATTTTGCAAACTAGTTGTATAAAGAGAGTATGAGCTTAAATGTGTTTAACTTGGTGTGGTTATGTAGGTATGTGTAGTAAAATCTTGAGCAGTGTTAACAATTAGGCTTTATGTCTGATTATCTTTCTATACGTTTTTCTTATTTTCTGAGCTGTGTGTTCAGCTAATAATCATATTCAATAATCAATGATAATAATAATGTTTTCTCCCTTTTCTCTCCCCGTGCAGGATGACATGCAGATCCGTGTGTTCAACTACAACACCTTAGAGCGGGTCCATATGTTTGAGGCCCACTCTGACTACATCCGCTGCATTGCTGTCCATCCAACCCAGCCGTACATCCTCACCAGCAGTGGTATGCTTGTAAAGCCATGGTGTTTTGATACTAGACTTTAATCATCACACAACTTAAATGTATCTTTACACTGGTGTCCTCAAACACACATGTATTTTTGTGTGCACACATGCCTTCATGTATTTCTGTTTCTGTGTAGATGACATGTTGATCAAACTGTGGGACTGGGAGAAGAAGTGGTCATGCAGCCAAGTGTTTGAGGGTCACACTCACTATGTCATGCAGATTGTCATCAACCCCAAGGACAATAATCAGTTTGCCAGTGCCTCCCTGGACAGGACTATTAAGGTAGAGACTTGCTGTTGCTGTTGTCCCTTTTACTGCTGCTAATTTTATCTTGTCATTGGGTGAGTGCTGTGGGACACCCAGATCCTAATACAGCTTCTTTAATGACTATACATAAAGCTAAGTCTTACATTACACACCTTACCTTCTCACACACACACACACACACACACACATATATATATATAATATAATGTCATAATCATATAGTTATAGTCTCAGAAGTACAGTTCAGTAATTCTCTATCACCTCCTCTGGTTTGTTTCAGGTTTGGCAGCTAGGCTCTTCATCTCCCAATTTCACGTTGGAGGGTCACGAGAAAGGAGTGAATTGCATTGACTACTACAGTGGAGGAGACAAGCCCTACCTAATCTCAGGGGCTGATGACCGCCAAGTCAAGATCTGGGACTACCAGGTTAGAAACCTTTTCATTCTCTTAGGAAGGTGAGAGTAAGCAACAAAACACTGATCATGGAACTAACAAGTACTTAAGCCAGGCACAGGCTAATTTCCTGCTGAAAGATAGTCTTTTGTTACATTAAGTTTAAAGATTAAATCAAAGATTATAGCATACTAAAGGAACTGATAGTTCTAAAAAGATTGTGTTCTTCATTGATCTGCTAAATCCTTTATGTGAGAATCCTTAAGCATTGTGTCTATATTTAAATGTTTCAACTATCTTTCTGTCTGTGTTGTAGAACAAGACCTGTGTTCAGACTCTGGAGGGCCACGCCCAGAACGTCTCTTGTGTCAGCTTCCATCCAGAGCTGCCCATCATCATCACTGGATCAGAGGATGGTGAGCAGGAATCCCACTAAATCTCCACCAATATACACAAACGCATCTTCTTATGGTCTCATTGATCGTTGCTTTATGCAACATTACCTCCTCCCCCTGTAGGCACCGTGCGTATATGGCACTCAAGCACTTACCGCCTGGAGAGCACTCTGAACTATGGTATGGAGAGAGTGTGGTGCGTGTGCGGCCTCAGGGGCTCCAACAATGTGGCGCTGGGCTACGATGAAGGCAGCATCATTATCAAGGTGAACAGAACCAAAGAGTCCTTGAAAATTATATTTGACTGAAAAAAAATTGTCATTATGAAAAGTATCCAAAACTAAGTTGTCTTTTCTTTCTCTTCTTGTCTTTCTGCTTTGTCTTTTTCTGCTATGGAGGTGGGGCGGGAGGAGCCGGCCATGTCTATGGACTCTAACGGGAAGATCATCTGGGCTAAACACAGTGAAATACAGCAAGCCAACCTGAAGGCCATGGGTGACGCTGAGATCAAGGATGGAGAGAGACTGCCATTGGCTGTCAAAGACATGGGCAGCTGTGAAATTTACCCCCAAACCATCCAGCATAACCCTAATGGAAGGTACCACAGGCCCTTTGATTAGTTTAGACAGAAACAGACATGAGCACAACTACTGTTTGTCTTTAGTAGCCAGATTAGAGATACATTTATAATAAAATCCCTGTTACTCATTTGTGCATTTTTTTTGTGCCCTAGGTTTGTTGTGGTGTGCGGAGATGGAGAGTACATCATCTATACTGCAATGGCTTTGAGGAACAAGAGCTTTGGCTCAGCGCAGGAGTTTGCCTGGGCACATGACTCCTCTGAGTAAGTATGATGTTTGAAATAGATGAGATACTTCTCTGCACTATACCTCTGTACCAGAGAGATGAGAGTTAACTGCTTTTTTTTTTTTTTTTTTTACATTACAGATATGCCATCAGAGAGAGCAACAGTATCGTCAAAATCTTCAAAAATTTCAAAGAAAAGAAATCTTTTAAGCCCGACTTTGGAGCTGAAGGTAAGTTGAACATTGCTGTATAGTAGTATGGTGGCTTTGGAAGTGGATAGTTCCCACCGTCTTCCTCACTCGATGTGTTCCCATTCTTCCCTGCAGGGATCTATGGAGGTTTCTTGCTTGGAGTGAGGTCAGTGAATGGCCTGGCATTTTATGACTGGGAGAACACAGAGCTGGTCCGCCGCATTGAGATCCAGCCCAAACACGTAAGACTGTATTACTAAATGTAGTCTCTGGCAGTGTGTATAACCAAATTATTTGGTT